CTTTTGCCGATTCCTAGCAAATCTCGTGTTTCTAAACACCCCTAATCTAAATTTTCGACAGCCTGGCCTATACGCTTGCAAAAACGTGCTTAGTTCGAGACTACGAGACAGAAAGAAAAGAATAATTGTTGGCGTTGATCCAAGCGGAACGTTTCAGATGGTCCATGTGCGCCTCGGATTGTTCCTGTGTTGATGATTGAAAACATGGGTTTTGCTGGCAGGGTTCCGACGCTGTTGAAGGAGTTCATTCAAGTATAATTGATGCAGTCTGTTTTCAGGATCGACATCGTGTCCCTTCGGGGTATTGGTTCTTGAGATGTGGACGCCCGATCCGGCTGTGTCTGTGAATTGCGCAGTGGACCCGATCACAAAATGAAACCGCCGGAAATGGCTGCGAGTGGGATGATGAGGACCCGATGGAAGTTCAATTGACCAACTGAGATCGCCACCGATGATTGCGACAGATGATTCAGCATCTCTGAATCACGAAACGAAGTGAGTTATCTAAAAATTAAGAGAAGAACTTTTTTATTCAACTGCACTACTGTATAGGGTTGTGTCAGCATAATGCATGTGTCGAACATACGTTGAAACTCAATTTTCACCCACTCGATTGATTTATTCATAGGACATTTTCCACGCTCATGTGTAATCTTTGGAAGTGAGAATGCCTGTGATTGGAAGGATTACGAAAATGATTGAGCATCAGTCTAAACATTAATACAATATATTTTTATTTCTTTCTTTTAAATTGATCGAATCGTTCTGTGTCATTCTCCAGCCTGTGAAATGATTGGTTTTCATGTTACCCGGATCGTTCTAATGATTAAGACCCTGTGCTGACCATGGGGGTCATACGATTGAAATTATTGGAGTGGAAGGTTCCTTTATGTCGCATCTAATTCCCAGATACGAAACTTGGTTTCACAAACCCATCTTAACGGATCGTATGCTGAAGCTTACGTAGTACGTATTACGTGATGCAAGAAGCTTGAACTTATTCACGAACCCATTGAGTGGAAACTTTTTATTCATCCAAAATTTGCCTCTCATCATTCATCGTTTTACGAAAATTTTTCCCCTTGTTGCATTCTTCCGTGAGGAGAGCTAAAAACATGATTTATCAATGCCGTGATTGAATAGAAAAGCAAATTGGTGGCTAATTATAATCGGGTTACAGTGGTTGCCGTATTTATATAACGCGTCTTAATTCAATGGAGTGCATTGTTTTAAAATTTCTAATTGTAAATTTTTCTCGTTTTACGATTGCGAAATTTTATGTACTGTACTGTACTCCCAATTCAAAGAATGACAGAATACCGAAAAGGGTGAACCTGGGGTTTTATTAAAAAATTCTTCTATAGATTGATGAACTTCAGGAAAGATCCTATCCAGGATCCCCGAGAGTTAATTGGGATCCTTTCTTTCAATTAATACTTATTGTACTACAGTAATTTTATTGTAGACAGTATGTTAGGTTTATCGAGGGAACTTGAACGTTGCTCATGAGTATCACTTTCCATGTCTGATTATTTAAATTTTCTGGCTACTGCGAGATCCGAACAACGCTAAGTAATATCACAACATTGTTCTGAGGTTGTAGTGCTGGAGGAAGATATTTGGAAGACCATAGGCAACGATTTTTTTATCTGCGAAAATTTTAAATCCTTCAAGTTGAAACGTGGGTATATTTGAATTGCTGGCGCATGTTCTAAGTTTATATCCCAGGAATTGTGAAGCTTATTTGCGGGCAAGCAGTAGTCAGGAAACGTTCCTGTAAGACAATTTTAAGGTTATATGAGGGTTGTCCCACTTCTGCTTGCTATTGAGTACTTATTTCTAGAGTAGGTATCATCATAAAAATCAAGACAAAATTATGATGTAGCCCATGTAATTTTAAAGGTTTGGGAATTTTTTTTTCAGATTTTCGTAAAAATTTTGTCTTTACTGCATGATGACAAGTGAAAACTTGAGTTATTGTGGTTGCCTTCGCCCCCAGGCTGGCTTAGTTTGTGTAGCCGATGCTGCATCATTTTGGAGGAACCTTTCTAAATCGAAGATCTGCAAGAGGATGTCCCCAAAAATGGCCGAAGGAGTTCAAAGTGTAATTGATTGTAAGAAATGAGAACGCTAATCCCAACTGCACCACGGATTTCTTGTATCGTTTTTATCCGGAAGAAGAGAAGAATATTTTCATCACGAGAAGGAATGCGTTAGGTATGCCAGTGATTTTTGATTTTGCCAAAAGTTGAAAAATTGAAAGTTTCGTTTTCTTATGATCAGGCCACAAATGCAGGAAGGAGAGTCGTCGAGTCCGATTGGCGGAAACAATGGCACAAAAAACGGTTGCGAACTGAGTTTAATGGATGATACGGAAGTTGGAGCATGAAAGAAATGTGGATGGAATTATTTTTTGTGATATTCCTGAGAAGACATTCGTCGTGGTATGGTTTGACGTCAGTACTTCTGAACCCCGTTATTCAACACCTCAGAGAATAAACACTTCCTTTTTTTACATTATGAAGTGCAAGGTTGTTGCTCCCAGTCAAAATGGGAGCAACAGCCTTGCTTCTTCTTGTTTGGCATGTGTCAGGGCTTTTCGAACGGTGGTACGCGTACCACCAGTGGTAGTGCGTGCTTGCCGGGTGGTACACAGGCAGATGTGACATTGACCGTGGGCAATATCAGGTCTGCCTGCATCACGTCCCAATGTGAAAGGTTATAAAATCATGGCTCATTTTTGCAGGTGATGTGCCAGTGCATAAAACAATTTGGAAACCCCCTCTTAGAATTTATCTTTTAAGAATAAGTTATGCAAAGATTTTGTATCTATCACATTTTTCAACTTGAATGCATCAGCAAAAATCTGAATTAAGCTATTCTCTGCCATGAGGCTCATTTGGGCCTAAATCAGGTGCTCCTTGCCTCCCAAAAATCCAAACAACACAAACATTATTTAAATATGCATATGCAGCACAATGAAATTATCTACGAAGAAGAAACCTCATTTGAAAGTTTTATTCGATTTTTCATGGTACAGAAACAGGTTTTCTGAACCCAACTTGCTGATTCCATCTGAAAATGTAACCTGTTCTTATGAATCACAAAAAGTACATTTTACTGCAGCAAAATTCGAATGTAATATTTTTTCTAAAGGAATGGATTGTTCTGAATGCATTGAAATAATGTATTTTGTAGTATTTTTCATATTTTGATTGATCACAACAGATGAATATAATGTATCTGTATTCCCAAATGGGGCTCATGGTTGGTAGCATGCAATTGTTTTTCTGAAAATGTATCGAATAGTGTTTTTCTTGTGAAAATAGCAAACTTCTGGACTGAGAATGCAAAAACAAGACCAAAAACACATTGCACAAAGAAAATTACCTTTGAAATTAATCTGTAAAAAGTGTTTCAATGCTCAGTATCATGAAGAGATATACTGTAGTAGGAATGAAAAATTTAAGAAGCTCCAACACCTTCTGAATTTTATCCAGCATCAGGAAAGACTTTCAAACTTATTTGGTTGATGTGCTGAATGAAAATTATAGTTTTTTTACAGAAAATAACTTTCGAAATTGTTCTGATAAATATCCGAAAAGGTTATATGTATTCAATTCCTGGTGACATTCTGACAGCTTCACAAATGTAGCAAAATCAATGATTATGCTCAGATTTAGCTTACGATATTAAAATCTTGTCAAAAGAATGAAGGATAATTATTTTCCCTCAAATATTGAATGTTTATCATATTGCAGTAAAGTCAATAGTCCTAGCATTGAGCCACGTTTGGGAATAAAATATCTGACGCAATTTTGAATTTATAATTGTAAAAATAAATTTTTTCCCAACCTATTTATATGTCAACGAAATGAAAGCAAGAAAAAATGGGTGTCGGAGAAATTCGGCTGTTGGTGGCTTAATACAAATTGCCCTCAACGAATTATTATTTTAGGTAATTGAGAGACTCGAAGAAAATCCTGGACATGTTGTTTTTTAAATCGTATAATTCACACCCACATTTAAAGTTTTTGTGCCACGAAAATTTTAGCACGTACCACTTTCCAGAGGATGAAAAGTGGTACGTGCTTCAAAAAGGTTGAAAACCCCTGGCATATGTGCATGGTCTCCTGTCGTCCTGAGACGCATGCGTTCTGATGTTCGGAGCTGCTTTCCAGTGTTGCCGCGCGTACACATCACTGTCCTGTTCTCCACACGTGTTTTTCTGAAAAAGCCCTGCGTTTGTTCGAAAGGGTTCCCCAAGTTCATGATAGCTTCGAATACCTGCTCTTTCTGCCTTTGCATAAACAACAGCACATGCCTCAAATGTGGCTATGTTTGCCTGGTTTTTCTCCTTTTATTCCTCAAACTCACAGTGCTGTGATACAGATATCGGTTGTATTTTTTCAGGAATTGCAAAGGTGAACTAGATTGTTGGTGTGTGTGTTTTTTTTAAATTGTTTAATGAGTGTTTTCAGGAAGGAAATGTGCAATACGGGTGTAATTTATATAATCGTCTTTATACAGTCAAACCTCAGTCGACCTAAGTCGAATTTTACTGGACCAGCGAAAAATAACAGTTGGGGAAACGAGCATTTTTGTTGTGGTAAAGAAAGGGATATTGGAGCAAGTTGTAAATTGTTAGTCTGGGCCTTAAATTGCTTTTCAAAAGGGTTGACAGGATGCTAATATTGTAGGCAAGTGTTCAATTACCACATGATTCTTTCACTTCCACACGAAAAACATCGCTACTTTTTTATTGCTTTTCTCTTTCCAGTGTCAATAAAATAATAGCCGGATGGCCTCAGAAAATTTGATTTCTGGAGGCTTGCAAGGAAAAGCTTTCCAGTTGCAGATGTTTACAATGGGTGCTGCAGAGAATCCTGTGGGGGAAAAAAATCCAGCGGCTCGAAAACGACCTGAGGCCCATAATCCCGTAAGCCCAACATCTTGCGGGTTTCAAAAATCCCGCAGGTACGAAAATCCTGTGTACTACGAAATTGTAAACTTTTGTTAGGGTTTTCTTTCAAACTATTGTATTATAAAAGGAATGAAAATCCGTGTATTACGATATTTTAGAAGTGTGAGGGGTTTTCTTCCAACGGTTCGGAAAGTATCGGTTTTCATTTTTCAAGAGAAAGGCAAGGAAGCCTGAGAAAGACGTAACGTTCATCCTTGCATTTGTGTGAATATAAACCTTGTACTTTTTTAATGATTCACACAGTTCAAATTTGACTCTGAAAACTTGAGAAATGTATGTCTAATACAGTATTCAGATTGAAGTTTAACTGAATGAAATTTCACCATCAAAATGCATTCAGACTTTTTCAATAAGTTAGCAATTTTATACACCATTACCTATTGTAGTTATCAAAAAGGAATTTTTTGATCTAAGTATAAATTCATGCTTCGGGATTTTCGTTGATTGGCCGCCCGGGATTTTCGAGCCGCAGGATTTTATCTTGGAACCGTTTTTAATGCATTCTTTCTAACGGGATTCAAACGGGGACGTGACAAAAATTTGATTTATAAGTAGGTATTCGACTTTTAGGGAGGTTCGAGTTATTGAGGTTCAACTGTGCCTCAGATTTTGCTGTAATTGCCTCCCCCCCCCCCTTTTTTTTCCTCTCTATTTTTCGAACTCGCAGTGCTGTGCCTACAGATTCCGGTTCTGTGTTTTTTTCCAGGAATTTCAAAGGTGAACGAGGCTGTTGGTGTTTTTTATTTATCGAAATAATTTTCAATAATTAAGCGTTTTCACGAAGGAAATGAGTAACCCGGTTCTTCAAGCACAGCCCAGCATCCCTGGGGTGCAGGGCAAAGAAGGAAAGTTTATCGCGCGGGGAACTCAACGTGGCAAGGGTATCGCCGTTTTCACCAGTGGAGGAGATGCCCAAGGTAAACTTAATTTTCTCAAACTGATCCGAAAGTCTGATTTTGAAAACGCTAATTTTTCCAGGTATGAATGGCGCTGTTCGAGCTGTCATTCGAATGGGAATATACTTGGGAGCGAAGGTTTATTTCATCAAGGAGGGCTATCAGGGTATGGTGGATGGTGGAGACAACCTGGTTGAAGCCTCGTGGTCGTCTGTTTCCGGGATCATTCACAAAGGCGGCACTGTGATCGGCTCTGCTCGTTGTAAAGATTTCCGTGAACGATGGGGCAGACTGAAGGCCGCAAAAAATCTAGTGAAAAAGAACATTACGAATTTGGTTTGTATCGGAGGCGATGGCTCTCTGACTGGTGCTAATCTCTTTCGTGTGGAATGGAGCTCTCTTCTGGACGAGTTGCTTTCAACAGGTATATCAGAGAACTTCTGATGTGCTTCTCACCGCGGTTACCCACAAATTTTGTTTGTTTGTTTTCTAGATGAAATAACGAAAGAAGAAAGAGAAAATTGCGCGAATTTGAACATCGTTGGTATGGTTGGATCCATCGACAACGATTTTTGTGGAACCGACATGACGATTGGCACTGATTCTGCATTGCATAGAATCATTGAAGCAATCGATGCAATTGCAGCCACCGCGTATTCCCATCAAAGAACTTTCATTATGGAAGTTATGGGAAGACACTGTGGTTATCTTGCGCTTGTTGCTGCTCTCGCAAGTGAAGCAGATTTTGTTTTTATTCCCGAATGGCCCCCGGAGTCGAATTGGCCCGAAATTCTCTGCAAAAAGCTTGCTCAAGTGGGTTATTATTATTTTTTTTTAATTTAAACTCCGGATTTGGCTAATTTGCATGATTTTCATTTTAAGGAACGAGCGATGGGTCTGCGGTTGAACATCATTATTGTTGCAGAAGGAGCGATTGATCGCGAAGGCCGACCGATTACCGCGGAGCAAATAAAAAAAGTTGTCGTCGACAACCTGAAACAAGATACTCGTATCACTGTACTTGGTCATGTGCAGCGTGGTGGAAGTCCATCTGCATTTGATCGAATTTTGGTAATTTCAAGTCTACAAAGATGTTCAGCGTATCCTTGAAACTTTATGCTTGTGTCATGTTCAACGGCGTACTTGAGTTTTGCCCAGGACAGTAGAAGATTTTTCAATTATGAATTCTCTTTTTGTGGTACTGTTCTTGAGTACCTTAATCTTAAAGTTCTTCTTTCAAGTCGATGGTGTTTTTTTTCTAGCGCTAGACACGCGTCATTCCGAATTTTTTTCATTAAGTTCAAGAGAAAGTAAACTTTCCCAACTTTGCTATCTCAAACAATATTCTTGGAATTGAAGAATTTTATTAATCGTGATTTCGAGATAGATCTGCACGAATGATCTAGATTTTCAATGAATTCCTGTTCATTTCTCTGCTGTCTTGTTCATCGTGGTGACCTTTTCCCTTGCTGGAATTTTCCCTTTTATCGCCTCTCTTCTGATCTCAGGGATGTCGTATGGGTGCTGAAGCTGTGCTGGCTCTCTTCGAGATGAAGCCTGACTCAGAAGCTGTTGTAGTTTCATTGGATGGAAATCAAGCAGTTCGTGTGCCTCTGATGGCCTGCGTTGAAAAAACCAAAGCCGTCGCCGCTGCCATGGCTGCGAAGGAGTGGGAGAAGGCTGTAGAACTTCGTGGCAGGTGTGCAGTGTTTTTGTCTCGATGCTTGTCTAGTAAGGTATTCCTACTGACTGGGATACTGGACTAAGATCCTGTATTCAGATTTTGGAGCATTGCCTGATGCATTTCATCTCTTTCTTCAATTTGAAGGAGTTTTGTCCGTAATCTGGAAACGTACAAAATGTTGACGCGATTGAGACCACCTCGAAGCGTGGTGGATCCTGAGGGCTTTGGAACCGTGAGTATTTGCTCGGGGGTGAAATTATACAAAAGTTTCTTTTATACCATGGGTGGCCATCGCAAGCTTTTTTTGGGTTTCACGGTGTTGGGTTATTGAGCTTTTCCCTTAATACATGTGTATCAAAAATGTTGTTACTGACACAGTGCCCCGTGAAAATTTGTTTCTGGTATTTCTGGACATGCTTGAAATCGTTTATATTCTGCATTTCCTCTGTCTATATGTTGGTGATCCCAGCAGAACGCTGACGCTGCAAAACTGCGAAAGGTGAGCAATGTCTAGTTGTCAGAGAAAGCAGAGATTGCTGGTTTTATTTCATTTCTGAAGGTATTTTCATTGAGATTATCATTTTTTGTTCTCTCATCAGCAATCTATCTTCATGATTGACTTAAATCTGGTGAGCGGAGCTCTAGTCTCCTCCGTTTCCCCTGTTATCTGTGAAATGTGCTCCATAGCTGAAAGAATTGACTAGAGAAAGTACAGTATTTGGTTTTTTGCCGAAGTGGCCTGCGCCCGTCTGACGAGATGAAAGCATATATAGTCTCACTTGGTTGTATTTGTTCATGAAGTCCATAGTATTCCTGCTCAATCACGAATGTGAGGTACTATTCCAGTACCCTTTGCCGTAGTTGCTTACATATAGTAAAACAACATATCTTCCTCGAGGACTTCACGTTTTTGTCCTTTGCTCACTAAAGCTGTTCAACTAGGAACTGTGAGTGTATGTTTGTGCGCGTGTGAATTGGCTTGGCTAACATGCAGGGGATTGTATTTGGTTGCCCTTTTTTTCATGCTACTTGCAAGCAACTCACGCTTTACTGTTCCTCCGTGAGTAACGCATATTTATGTTTTTCTTAGATGTGCACCCGTAGTGTATTTGAATTCTTCTTTGCTGTGACTTCGATGATAAAGATGTTGCTAATCTACTGTTGCTTTTAGGGAGGATTCACTATGGCCGTGGTTCACATTGGAGCCCCAGCGTGCGGAATGAACGCTGCTGTGCGTTCCTTCGTACGAAATTGCATTTATCGTGGTGATACCGTTTACGGCATTCATGATGGTATTGAAGGATTAATTGAAGGCAATGTGAGTTTTTCAAGATGTGCTGTAATTTTTTTGAGATGTTGAAGATTTGTTGTTGAATGACCTCAGATTCAAAAATTAAACTGGTCAGACGTGAACGGCTGGGTTGGACAAGGTGGCGCATTCTTGGGAACAAAGCGCACACTGCCTGAGAAATACTTGCCGCAGATCGCGGAGAAACTCAAGGTTTATGGAATCCAGGGTCTGCTCGTCATTGGTGGTTTTGAGGTTCGCCTTTCTGTTCATTGTACTTTTTTTCTCTAAAGCAATGAGCCCGCTTATTGTTATATTTTACCGTGATATACTCTATTCTAGGCGTACCAAGCCGTACAGCAGCTTGCCGATGCAAGAGGAGAATACCCCGCATTCTGCATTCCCATGATTGTCATCCCGTCAACGATTTCCAACAATGTTCCGGGTACAGATTTCTCCCTTGGGTGTGACACTGCTTTGAACGAGATCAGCGAGGTGAATTTCTACCTCAATTATGGCATAGTTCTTGGAAGTTCTTCATTGCTAGTTATATGTATGCTAGAGCAGTGTTCCCAACCTTTTTAAGCCCGCGGACCAGGAAATTTCCATGAAATTTTTCACGGACCGAAAAAAAAAAAATTTCTGCAGGCCGGCAAAGTTTCATGAAATTTTTGCGGACTCAAAGTTTTGTATAGAAGACCACCTTTTTGTATAAAAGACTATGGCAGGTATTTATAAATTTTCTGCTTTTTTTCTAATCAAGTGATGAACCAATGAAACAGCTATTGTGGAATTCTTCAGAAATTGGAAAGGTGGGCTAGAAAAAAGGTTTCTCGGAATGAAAAATTAATATAAGTTGTTTTGTATTGTGAGAATTTGTCTCAAGTGTAGGTAGGAGAAAAGTCAACTTTTATTTTTCATTAGATAATTTCAACTGCCATTGTCTTTTAGAAATTTCAAAGAAAGATAAAATACTTCATTGCTACTTCTGATAATTTGATTTCGCCGGAGAAAATTTCCTGTAAAACGGAAAAAAATTTCTGCGGACTAGCAACGGTCCGCGGACCACGGGTTGGGGAACTCTACGCTTGAGAAGTCTAAGTTGAGGGTCCGAGTTGATTCTGATTTCTGTCGACGACGTTCGTGTTGGAAGATGGCCTTCAATGCTGAATCAATTTTCTCATGGATTGAAACAAATTTATTTCCAGATTTGCGACCGAATTCGTCAATCCGCACAAGGAACAAAGCGACGTGTATTTGTCATCGAAACGATGGGTGGTTATTGTGGTTACCTTTGCACTCTGGCTGGCTTGGCTGGTGGAGCCGATGCCGCGTACATTTTGGAGGAACCTTTCCGAATCAAAGATCTGCAAGAGGACGTGCAACACATGTCCTCAAAAATGGCTGAAGGAGTTCAACGTGGATTGATTCTGAGAAATGAAAACGCTAATCCCAACTACACCACGGATTTCTTGTATCGGTTGTATTCGGAGGAAGGAAAGAATATCTTCAGCACAAGAATGAATGTTTTAGGTACGCAATGATTTGCTAACTTTCCACAAATCGAAAAATTGCAAGTTTCGTTCACGTATGATTAGGCCACATGCAGCAAGGAGGGTCGCCGAGTCCGTTTGACAGAAACATGGGCACGAAGATGGCTGCAAAGTGTGTCGAATGGATGATTCGTAAGTTGGAGCAGGGAAGAAATGAAGATGGAAGCATCTTCATCGATACCCCGGACAGTGCCGTTCTTCTTGGTATCGTTCGACGTCAATACTGCTTCACTCCAGTTCAGCATCTGAGGGAATACACTGATTATAAGTAAGTTTCAGCCGAAAATAACGAATTTCGGCTGGTCGCTGTAATATACTCCCTATCTTTTCGTTACGCCAAAATATTCGAGGCAAAACATTTGAGGAAACAATCCAAGTATTGGGATTTAAATGAATCCAATTATTGTGATTGTTGGCGGGTATTGAACATTTTCGTTGGACCTAATGATAAAGTAGTTTTGTTATTGATTTTGCTCATTACGCCTGGTTTCACCTTGTTATACACTTGGCTTCGATACGTTTTCACCATAGTAGGTTCTGATTCCATTGCCAAAGGATTTGAAAATTTTCTCTGGAAATTATGTCTTTTCTAAAATGAAACAAAAATAATTAATTTGGTCTAGGCTCCAGTTGAGGATCCAGACATGTTCGAAATTATTCTGTGTTGATCGGGTTTTTTTTTAAGAATTTGTGTAGTTATTCTAAATTCATTTATTGCTTCCTTAGGCACCGCATCCCAAAATTCCAGTGGTGGTTGAAACTGCGTCCATTGCTGCGTATTTTGGCAAAGCATCATGCAACCTACGAAGAGGATGTTGAAGTGCTGCTTGAAGAGAATCTAGAGGAAGAAAATGCAATCTCGTAAATATTTGGAGTGCGATCCCCGTTCATCGATGACTCGAAGTCCTTGTGCTTAACTCACGACAAGTATATCCCGACCCGCACTCCGACATCCGTGATGTAGTACAGTACTCTCTGAAATTCCTTCTGTAAGTTCGACAACTTCGCTGATGTAGCCTGATGAATCGTGTTCAATTGATGCATTTAGACGGCAATCCATAGAAAAAAGTCATGACGGTTAACGGGACAGAAACGTGCATTGTTATTGAAGAATCGCTCGTGTGTTGTTTGAAGCGGCTGAAATGAGAAACTTTTAGATGAACGACGTGCAATAATTTAATGTGAATGGCGTTGTAAAGTAGTGTAGCTCTAGTCCGTCATCGAGGCTCATTGCTGCTTACCGCCGACATTGTTATTTTGGGCGACATTGTGAGCATTCGACTATTTTGGTCGAGTCTGTTCGCATCAAATCGTTCGAGTTGTTGGATTATCAGTTGTTGCTTTGACCCCCGGATCAATGAATCGTCATATGAACTCGTCGATTGGGAAATTGTTGGATAGCTGCGGGCCTCCTTGTTTAGAGTCCTCAGTGCTGCAATGTTATACTGTACTGAAGTGCCATGTGTTTTTGACCATGAACAGATGATCAGAAGAGTGGTAAAAGTCCGTTGTGTTCGCGATTTTGAGAGGTTGGTAATATTCAACGGTTAAGCTGTGGTTGTGAGATGACTGAACCTCTCTGATTATGATGTTGCATGGATTTGCTTTTCCCGAATAAACTTGGAAATTAGGGTGGGGATTTCCTATGCATCTATGTGCTTGACGATTTGAGTCCTGTATTGCGAATCTTCCACGATCAATCTCTTATTTAAGATGATCAGAGAAATAGAATGTTTCAATATCGAATTTTGTATGTTCATTATAAACGACCATGATATGATTTTTTGTTCGTGCTCGGTGTTTTATGCTTTCGATGCATCTCGACATTTTTTTTTTTTTATACAGTAAGCCTTCTGCCCGTGTTTAAATAGCGGAATTTCCGATTTCTTATTTTTGGATTATTCATATATGGAACGACTTTGTCAAAGAATGGTGTGATCTGAAGTGCAGTTGGAGATCGGTTTCCTGAAACCTATTTCTCCAAGAATCCAATCATTTCATCAACAAAAATCTGTTCGCACATTACGGTGTAAGACGAAATTTTGGAAGCGCATTTATTGCGAAGATGAAATTTTGGAAGAGCATTTATTGCGAAGACAAATACAGTATTAAGAAACGTATGCATCAAGTAAATTAAAGGGCCACAGAAGATAACACAGGTGCATTATTAAGAGTTCCAGCGTTACATCAGGGCGCATTGTAGATTTGTGCTGGGGCCCCACAATAAAAATGTAGTTCACTATCCGATGCTGTGACAAACCTTCTATATGTACAGTACAGTATAGTTCTATATAGTTGCTAAATTAAAAAAATATTCGAATTTTGTGTAACTATTGACAATGAAATTCCAAAGTTTTAGTGGAAGTGAGGCGAAGCCATGTAAAAGGGTGAAACTCAGGCAACACCAAGCGTTTGGCACGCTTATATAACGAGATGCTACCCATTTTAAAATACAGTAGTTGATTATTTGATTGCCTTTTCAAAATTATACCGAAGATTGTAGAATTTTCTGAGGCCAGAAGCGTTGACCATCACATTTCTTTACGTGTCACAAACGCATTCATATTATGATGCCAATTTTTTTTTTCTGTGCTGCTTCAGGTAAAATGATACACTCTCTTCGACTCCAGAATTTCAAGACATCTTTTCTGGAATGCGCATTGCCAATACGCCAAAATTTTAGGAGGGAAAATACTATTTGCTTCTCTTACTCACTGTGCCACGTACGGACCATGCAGGATGCATGCAGCCACCCCGGATGTTCAGTTAGTCTCATGTTGATTGCATGAAAAATATTGAGATTTCTGAAAAGAACGGTGACGTATAATATATAGTAAGACTTTTTCGTCTCTACACACACAATCAGGCGCTGGCCTTCTTGGATTAACACATACACTGAGTAGAACACAACGGTAGCGGTTTATTGCACTCACTCGGGTAGCGGATTATAATTATGACAAATACACAGTACGCACGATGAAAGGCACTGCTTCGGTTGACGACCGCTCGGTTCGGGAGCTATAGACAAAGTGAGGCTCTCTAAGGCCTCAGGGGTACGGGCGCGAGTCGGTTGACGCAAGGGCGCGCGTACATTGTGTCAGCCGGTTCTGATTGGTGCGGCGTAACAAAGTAGAAAAAACAGTCGATGTCGCATTTAGGCCTTTTGCGCGGGCCATGATGGCGGCGCCTATGGGCCCGCGCGGGGGTCGTACTATGTCTATAATATGTACAGTACTGTTATTCAGTCTGTAAGGAGGCTGGAAAAGCAAGGTTCGCCATTTAAATAGTTAGATATTTATAGTTCGCAGTCAGCCATTCATAGTTGACTGCTAAAAGAATTAGTATGATAACCTTATTGATATTAGTGTGACATATTCAGCGCCGTCTTGCAATTTTTACGCATCTAAAATTTATTTTGATTTTATTGAAGTTGAGCTATGGGGAACAAAACTCGATAAAACAATCATCATCTATAAGCACAGATGTACATTTATATACTTACTGCAACATACGTATGGAATGCAACATATGTTTCGTGATGCCTCCATATCCAAAAGATTTTATGTACTACATATACTATAGCTTATTCTTTTACGTCGCATTTGTGTTATACTTATGAACGGTTCTCTTATCAAGGTTTTGTCCTGTGAGAGTTTACAGTGTTCTATTCATACATTTCTGGTCTGAGTTTTCTGTTTGTCGGGTTGGTAAACATTCCATTGGTGCACATTAGTGAAACATTTCCTTTCCCGAATCCGTTGAGTGTTACAAAAATCTCGTTTGTGATAATAAGAGACGCTGCACAGAAATCTCTCTGCGCGCGGAGCCATATATACAGTATTACAGACCGACGGACTGAAGATCTGCGAGGAATAAATAGTAAAGTTTTACCTATAGAATTGTTCAAGACTTGTCACTACTGTCTAAGTCGAAGATTTCGTGATCTGATCGGTGTGATGTCGTCAGCATTGCTTTATATTACAACCAGGACGGGTGCTCATAAATTTTGGGTTTGGAAAAAAGTGGTGAAAATCATGTTTTGGTGTACCTCATCGTCAACGATTTCCTGAATTTCAACTCACAGTGAATTTGGTTGTATTATTTGGAGTAGTTTCTCGAGATGCCGGTTTTAGAGACAAACATTATACTTTACTACTGTATAACATCTTCCTGAATTCTGGTTGTGTGGATTTTTCATCGTGATATAATCAGTATGAGTCAATGAATTAACTTGGATAATAAAGGATACGCTTCCGGAATACATTTTGTGTCTTTGCGTATATAAAGGCATTTTAAAGGTTTTACATAAATTTTCTTCCAAGTTCCTACTGAGAAACTGCTGTAAAACCATTAAAAAAATGATAATACAGTATTAAGTTTCTACAGTGAAACATGAGCCATTTTCAGAAAAATTAAAACATAACGAGCCATGCCCATGCTATGCATCCTGCTATGCCCGGCTGTTACATTTGTCTCTGCTATGTCTGCCCTTCCTTGCTGCGATGAGCTAATTCTGTTATTTTATATTGAAATATCACATGTCTGTGCCTAATTTTTTCATTTTAGATCTTCCAACCACTTCTGAAACGTTGTAATGCTATTTGGAAATGACTAAATAATGCAACAATTATAGGCTTTCTTGAGATGCCCGGTCCTCTGAACGTGCTTCATGCATTAAATTAGAGTTAGACAATCTGGTGTTGTGGTTCAAAAATACTGTATGATGCGCATCGTTCCCTGATAATATAAGAGCTGGATAAATTGTCTTTCTTCCCCTGAAAATGAAAAAAAAAACGGGGGAAACAGTTATTCAGTCTAGGTGTAAGAAGGTTTCTCTCTTGACTTGCTCATTTTAAATTTAATGTGCAGCATAATCACATCACGATCATCTTGAAAAGGTGAAATGGCCCAAATCGGGTATCTGGCATGAATGATAAATTCAAGTTCCTGCTGTACAATGCAAGGCATGGGCATAATATAGAAAAATCAATGTTCCAATTGGAGTATAACATTTTGTGATTGGTTCAAATCCCAGCTTGGTAAATTTCTTGTCCAATACTAAATACTGCATTTAAACAACAGTTCCATAATGGCTTTTTCTGTACCTATTTCGAATGAAATTTCGTACACTATACTCGCAAGAACTTCCCAACTTTGAAAACCGTTCTTCGGACATACATTTCTTATGATTGCCAGGCAAAAGAAGCCACTTGAAATTTGTTCAGTAAGGCTATAAATGTGATACCTGCTCAGCCAATCAAAAATGCTTTCAAGGTAATCAAATGAATCCTAAGAGGATTTTTGATTCTTGCTCTCCACATCAGAGGCTAGTTATTCGAGTCGAAAGAAAATGAACATGCTTGCCAACAATGTCTATGAAAATTTTGACTGAAGATTTTCAAACTAATTGACTATAAGGTCTTGTCTTTACTGTACAGTAAACTGGCCTGAAGTATATTTGTACAGTGAATATCAGGTTGATTCTTTCTTTAATGACTTATTTGGCTACAATGATTTTCTTGTTATACTGTGATTATTTTTCTTGGCCCCATATATATAGGGCTCTCTCCTCATTGGTTATATGTTTTCTCTACAACAAAAATACAAAACTATTTTCTTCAATGCATACTTTCAGTCCCTTGAAGTTTGTTGTGAGGAGTGTCTATACATGTATTATCAACCTGCTCACATGAATTTCTGAAATATTCCAAAGGATGCGAAGTATCTTGAACAATCTTCCATGGAATTAACTTTTGAGTCATAAGTGAAATTATGCAGTCCACCAGTGTCATGCTACGGTAACCATAGTGATTTGCTGATCATGCAAGTGTGGAGATGTATACAGTACTCCATGCAGTCTGGGTGAAGCTTCCCGCGGATTGCCCGTTCGTGGATGTGACATAGTGCCCCTGTGTCTGTTACTGCTGTAATCCAGGTTCAACCCATTGACTGCTCGCTCAGACCTGAGGCACTTCACGTATGGGCGAGTTTCAGCGCCGTTTTCTTAAGCGCTGCTGGCTTGCCGGTCTATCTTCGAACGCCACTCCCTCATCGTTCAATGCCGGTTGAACGATACCTTCAAA